CCACGAAAGAGCAGTAGTAAATGATCATTTGCTGAACACCTTTTGTGTTCCAGACACATTACTTAGAAGATCTCTATTGTCATCACAACCCCTACAGAGCAAGTTTTATATTATTTTTCAGAGGAGGACACAGAAGAAGGGAAGCCAAGAAAATCACCCAGGGTATGCACTTAGATGTTCAAACCTGTATTGCAAAACCTCGTGTGCCCTTGTCAGGCTGTCCTTGACCTCCAAGCCCTGGTTCTGCCCCCAAAGACCCATCACTGCCCTTGAGAGAACACTACCCCTGAGACACCCCCCCACTACCCCCAGAACTGAAACCTTTCTGACACCAGTTCACACTGTCGGGGAGGGGCAGGGGGAGCTGGAGAGCCAGAGTTAGAACCTGGGTCCCTCCAGGACCAGCTGAGTCCAGGAGGCCAAGAGGGCCTTCTTCAGCTTCAGTGATCTGGGATGGGAGTGGGGGTGGGAAGGTAGGAAATATTTGTCCCTAGGTCCTCAACCTAGGAGACATCCTGGAAGACCATGTCACTTCTCACAAAGACTCTGTCTTTTCTCCCAGGGACCTCTAGACCTGCTTCAGCACTCTCAAGTCCGTGCTGCCTCCCAAGGTGCTACCCACCAAGGGGACCAGGTGAGAGTTGATTGTGGGGCAGCATTTGTCATCCAAACTGGCTTTCCTGACTGTTCATCTCGTCCAGAGAGCCTTCAGTCACTCCCATGGCAGAGAAAATGTAAAAGAGAAGAAAAGAAAAGAAAAAAGAAGGAAAGAAAGGAAAGGAAAGGAAAGGAAAGGAAAGGAAAGGAAAGGAAAGGGAAGGGAAGGGAAGGAAAGGAAATCCAGGTCAGGAGCCAGACCATGTCTTCTGCACCTCCTCCACTCCTCTGACCAGTGGGGACACAGCACAGGGATCTAAGCCCTCAACCCTGGGAAGGAAAGAGAGACTGAAGGAAGGGAAAAGAGGCAAAGAAGGGACAGAAACCTTGGTTTTAGGCTGAAGTAGTCAGGCAAAGGTGTGGCCACAGACCAAGGCTGAGGATGGTACCTGAAGACTTCTGGCCTTGACCGTGTCTGGAAAACATCTAGCAAAGGAGGGAAGGAAGGAAGAAATCATTCAGAAGCACCTTTCCTCATTCAGCCCCAGGAATGTGTGGGTGTATATGCGGAGGGGGAGTTTGTGACCTTTTCCAGGTCCAGGCCTCACCCTTGTTTGAACCCCTGCGCTGAACCCAAACTGAAGGCTGGTAATGGCAGCAGGGTGGGCAGTGGCCCAGGTGGCTGGGATGAGGCTTCATGGTACAGTGGCGTTGGGAGCCCGGCCCCACCTCGCCTACCGGTGAGTCACCTAAGCCAGGACAAGCCCTGGAGCCTATACTCTTTTCCTCTGCCACCAGCACATCTGGGATCCAGCTTAGGCAGAGAGAGGATGAAAGAAAAGAGGGGCCCCAGCATGGAGAAGGGAGGGTGGGGAGAAAGGCAGGGATGATTCCATCTGAGCTGGCCTCCAGGTTCCATCCCAAGACTGCTGCTTGTGCCTCTGTCTCTGTACCCCCTCAACTCCATCCCTGATGCTGACCTCATTTTTGACCCCTGGGCCCCATCTTTCTCTATCTACCATCCCATCCCTCCCAGAGTCCTCAAACCATTTCCATTACCCACAACTGACTCCTAGAGTCATTCTAGACCAGATCCCTCCTAGACTCTACATGCCCCCACCACTGCCCTCAGAGAACTCATCCCTACCCCCAGCTTCCCAGACCCCATTCCCACCCATCGCAACCATCATCCTTCCCACCCAAGATGCTTCACTTTGAGATGTGAGAGTAACATCATTAACATCTCATCACCCTGTGGATTTCCATGGCCGTTCACCATTTAGAAAGAATCTAGGCATTTAGAGGGCTGCGGAAGTGACCAAAGTACATCCCAGAAGGTAATCAGCCTATGTTTCCAGTCTCTTTCTCTCTGCCTCAAGATGCCTGCACACTTAGAATAGAGTCCTAAGTGATGGCACCTGAACTTTTGAGCACAAAAGAGCTCAAGGAATCTCCAAGTCCATCAGAGGAGTGTTTAAGCCTGTCTGCCCCTCATGTGTGTAGACAGAGCGACACATACATGTGCACACAATCCCATGCACATACACATATATAATTACTCTAAGTATATGTACATTCACATGCACATGTTACAATAGAATGTAAGCTCTGCAAGGTTAGGGGTGATGTGGATGATGTATCCCCAGTTCCTACAACAACATTGGCCCATGACCAATATTTATTGAAAGAAGGGCACATAATGGAACTCATACTTGCAAGTAAATGTATACATAGAGCTATACACATGTAACAATACATCCCTCTGTAAATGTTTATGCACACACATATGTATCTACATGGTTATCCACATACACACATGCTTTTAGATAATCCACGTGTGTAACATATATTATGGTATATGTACATACATGTATATATACACTTCATATACAATGCATATAAGCACACGCATAACTACTATGAATATATTATTGATATTAAATATACGTCACACACAGATACCACATATATATACTAAACACATATGTGCATGTTCACAAAAGTAAGTGAATACAAATGGAAGCATCCTTTTACTCAAATTTTTCCAATTTAACTGTCTCAAGGCCCCCTGACCCAGACCTGGCTGCCACAACCAGAAATGTCCACCAGATGGCACTCTTCTGCCACTTCACGTACTCCCAAGCGTGGCCAGGGGTGTCGCCAGAGCTGTCGCCCCTTCCGTGGCCCACGCACAAAACTTGCGAAGCCGATGTACCCCAAGAGCTTCCCTCTCATTCCGCCACCCAGCAGGGCGGTGGGCGAATTCTTGGTCCCCAAAGTCTGCAGTCTCGGCCATCTCCAAAATTGGGCTCGTCCTCTCGGGCCTCCAGGATTCTGTTGGATGGGCGGACTAGCCCTCGGGGGCCCCAGTTCTGCTCAGCGCTCAAATCCACCCTGGTTCACCAGTGAGCCAAAAGTTGGGCTTCACCCATCAGAACCACGCGGCTGAAGGACCTTTACTAGGAGGCTTCTTAATAATAAGCGGGCCGATGCCCCACGACGGCAGAGGAGGGAGTCAGGGTCATTCTTGGTTCCTACGCACAGGTACACACCACCCTCTAACCCCGGCGTACTCCCGACCTCCTGCCCTGGACGGCTAGCCAGGGTCAGCCGAAAACAGAGAGAATGGCCGGATCCTAGGCCCTAGTACCCTTGGCTGGGGAGGGTCTGGTCCCGGGTAACCCCTCCCTCACCAGTACAGTGTAGACTACCGATCTCTGGCTCGGAGTCGGAAGGAAGTGCATTCGCTCATCTGAAGCAAAGCACTTAGAATCCCGGAGTTGGGGGAAGTTGGGTGGAACAGAGGTCCTCCCGCCTCCCTGCCTAGGCCACTCCGAGTCAGCTCTCCTGGAGCCTCACATTTCTGGTGTGAGCAACCTCGAACGAAAAACGCAGGGAAGGCTTGAAAACCCGTGGGGAGGCGAGGCGGGGAGTTCTGGCAGCGGCTCGGCTTCCCCCTCCTCTTCCCCTCTCTTCCCCAGGGAGCAGTGGGAAATTATTTATTAAAACGCAGCCCGCGCTCTCATTTATTTGCGGTGAATAATCTCGGCTTCGCAGCGCGTTTATTAAACCTTTCCCGTCCCCGCATTACTTTAATAATAAATCGCGTGTCACTTTCCAGCGACGTTATTAAAGCCCGTCTGCGGAGCAGAGGCGGGGAGGGGAGGGGGCGGATGTGTGGAGCAGCAGGGATTCCTTCTATTCCAGGCTATGGGGTCTGAACCAGCAGGGCTGGGAGGGGGAAACTGAGGCCGTAAGAAGCCTGCAAAAGCGATCAAGGAGTACAGACTGCCGGGGTGCCTGTGACCCCCTTGGGTCCGGTGGAGCCTCCGCTCTGCAGGTAGGTACGGTAGTAGCAATAGACCCGCCAGGGGGCGCCTTCGAGCACGGCTGGGCTGGTCGGACCACCCACACCACGTCCCCCCTTTCAGTGCTGAGTAGAACGCCTTCTGGTCCGGACGCCAAGCAACATGACCCCCTCTCCCTGGCACACCGCTCACATCCCCACTCCTGCTTCCGCGGTCGTCCTGGAATTCACCCCAAGTCTCAAACCCGCTCGAGCTGTGGAGTGTAGTTCCTGGGGCCGCCAGGCTCTAAACAGACTAGTCACCGCCAGCTGCCCCCTCGCTTAGCCTGCAGAGGAGCCCTGTGGTCCCGCGGGAGGGACAGCCAAGCTCTCCGGTGGGGATTCCGGGCCACGCCCTTGCCAAGAGCCCGCGCTGCCTGCCTTGGGCCCCAGAGGACAAGTTCAGACACTGAGCCAACTGGGATCTCTCCGGTGGTGGCGCCAGACTCCGGGCGGGGCCCGCGCGCGTAGGAGACTGTCGCCATCCACACACAGGGTCTTGGCCTCCCGAACTCAAGTTTTCATTTTCTGCTTCACTCAGCCAATAAACACTGGGCCTCCTCACCTAGGCCAGGTACAGCGAGTGTGGAGGGAGATGTGGGGAGTGACCCCCAGCCAGATAGAACAGGTCACAGTTGGCAGATAAGGAAACTGGCTTACCTGTTTGTCTGGTTTCAGCAAAAAAATGGGTGGATTCCTAGGGGAAACCTAGGGTGCAGCCCACGCTGCTCGCCAAGGTGCTCCCCTCCATCCAGTTTGTGCTTTTACCCTGGGGCCCTACCCACATGGACCTGGTTCCCCACCTGCAGGGGCAGGCCAGCCCCAGTGGAGAGATGGGGAGAACAGCCTCCCTCCAAGCAAGTGTCTTCAGACTTGCTCCCTAGAGGGCAGGGCAGCACCCCCCTCTACCTGCCGCCCCAAGCTCCCTCTCTACATCCCGCAGGCACATGCCTAGGGAGCAGCTTCTAGAAGCCAGTGTCCTACTACCATGGGAAGCCTCCCAGGGAAATGTGGTCTTCATGTGCACACCTGCACGAAACACCTGTGCATCTGTGTCTCAGTTTGTTCATAAATCTTTATTGCATGCCTACTGTGCCTAGTCCTGTGCTAGGCAGTGTCCAATACAGAGTGGTATAAGATATGGTCCTGGCCTCGAATTTTCCAGAAGGACAGAAGTTAGACATGACCAAATGCCCATCTTAATGCACTGGCCTAAACCGTGCTCCATTATGCTTTTCCAGACCACAGATGGCCAACAGCAAAGAGGACTGCTGTTAGTAAGTGCAATTAGAACTTAGGTGAGGGGAGAAATTTCTAGAAGGTGAGTTTTGAGGAAGGGAAAACTGAGGCTAGGCCAAGGTTAGGGACTAGAAAAATAACAGTAGGAGCTGTGACAAAGGGTAGTTCAGAAGACTGGCTGAAGAGGGCTGGAGGGAAGGTTGTCAGGAAGAAGTGGAGGATCCCGGCTGCCTCTTTGTGTTTCCTCTGCAACCCCCTTCCCTGATACTCCCTCCCAGCCTAGCGACCAGGAGGCAGCTGCTGTCTTCTGCCTGGTTGGTCTATGCTGGAGGCTGTCCTGGCCAGGGCACCTCCTCCATAGGCCTCTTTGCTTCCCACTTCCCCTAGCGTCTGCCTCTCTCCCTGCCCTCTGCCAACTTTTGTCTCCCTACTTAACCACCACCGTGTTCCCCCTATTAAGGGCACCAAAGCAATGAAAGGGCCCTGCTCCCCCTTCCAGGTCTTTTCAAGAGCAGGGATGAGCACTCTCCCCACTCACGCACCCCCACAGCCCGGGGCTGCAGCCCTAGTAGTAATCCTCGCCCTCTTCACTCGCAGCCTCCTCCCCAGGAATCAGAGGCACGGATGGCACATGGGGGATGCCTGTGGAGTTCAGCTGGTCTGCACACACATGTGGGCAAAGGAGAGAAGAGGAAAGAGGGGCTGTCAGTGAAGCCATACTTGCCTCTGAACCCACATGCGCATAGGCACACAGACACACATTCAAGGGCCTCGATCCACCACCAGCACCAACCCGCCCCCAGCCCCCAGAGCCCAGGGCTCACCCTTACCTGGCGTGAGCACTGTCAGGCTAGCTGGAGCCTCGACCTGGCCCAGGGCGTTGCGGGCCAGGCAGCGGTAGACACCTCCGTCGCTGGGACGCACAGCCTGGATCTGCAGCCAGCCTGTGACCTCAAACCTCTGGGGTCCACCCCTGAACTGGTGCCAGAGGCGGGGGTCAGCAGGGTCCTTCTAGGAGGACCCTGGTCTGCCCAGAGGAGGCCTCGACTCCCTCTCCTACCTGCACTGAGATGTGGGGGTCATCCCCGGGGAGCTGAACGTCCAAGCCGTCCTTCCTCCACTCGATGGATGCCATGGGGTAGGCAAACACCTCGCAGCCAAAGATCACATCCTGCCCCGTCACGTTCCAAACGTCATACGGATGCAACACGATCTGGGGCTCTGGGGATGGAGATGGGAGGCCTGAGAATGGGCACATCTGACCCCAGAAGCAGGCCGTGCATGAACCATCATGGATGTGTTTGTGGGGGAAGACAGTCAACACAGAGGTAAATACACACCCATACACGTGACTTGATCAGTACACACGGGTACATGTAAATGTAGGTACAGGTACACGCAAGGTATAAACTCCGAAATGGTGAGGTACGAGCAGACAGGATGCCGCAGCTCAGCAGCCACACTCCATTCCTGATCTCTCCCCTGTCCTCATTCCACCCTAGAGGCCCCTATCCTGCCCTACTTATAACCAACACCTCCCTCTACCCCCCCTTCCTAACCAGATCCAGTTGCCAAAGACCCCAGGAACAGCCCTTCCCGCCCCCCACACACACCCTGGGACCAGGGAAGGAGGCGAGGGGGGGGGGAATCCCACGTGGGAAAGGCAGAGAACCTGAAACCAGATCTGGGCAGCGGGCAGAAAGCCTGCAGTTATGGGGTAAAGTCTTGGGACCCCGCCGGTGTTTGTTTTCCTGGCAGCCCCAGCCAGGCCAGATCCTTCAAAGGGGCTCAGGAAGTGAAAGTGACTACCGCTGCCAAAGGAAACCTGAGGCCTGAATGGCCCCCATTTCCCGGGGGTAGGAGGGAGGAGCTGGAAGAGCCCCCTCCTTCACGAATCCTAAGGCACAGAAGAAACCGAAGGGAGGTGGGGAGACTGGGCGAACAGCTTGCTCTACGAAATCGGAATCCGCCCAAAAGAAACCCGATTGCATCTCTCTGGAACCCAAGTCTCGCTGCCTGGGCCCCAGCAGTCTGGGCAGACTGGGAGTCTTCGCTCTCTCGGTTTTGAGACCAGTCATTGGCTCTGTGCCTGCTCCCTCTGAGGGTGGGTCCCTGCCGGCCGGGTCTGGGGCTTCCACGCGCCTCAGAGGGGCACACAGCGTGCGGACAGAGCTCGGCCCCTGAAGGTGCTGGTCTCTGCGGACCAGCGGCAAGAGCGGGCTTACACTGGACTCGAGGACTCCCCGGCCTCAACTTTTTCTCTCCGCTGGCCAGAGATCAATTCAGTAGCAGGTCGGGGAGCAATGCCTCGAGTGCCTGGAGTGCCCCAAGTGCCGGGGGTAGGGCCCGCGGGCCGTGCGTACCGGATTCGCAGGGCCCCGGGTGCGCCAGCGTGAGGTTGGCGTCAGGTCGAGCGCGGGCCGCCTCCTGCAGGCGGCAGATCTGCGCGTAGGTGCGGCCGTCCGACCCGCAGAGCGGGCGCTGAGAGCGGCAGGCACACAGAGGCTCCGGCACCTCTCCGCGGCTCAGGTCGCCGCCCTCGTCCAACCGGCACTCAAGCTGCTCGCCGCAGCGCCCGTAGAAGTGGGCGCTGGGGTCCAGGTCGCAGAGCTGGCCCTCGAGGTTGGCGCATTCCCAGCAGCAGCCGCACACGTCTTGCACCCGGCCAGCCAGGCAACCCCGCGGCTCGGCGCACTCTTCTGGCCGACAGGGAGCGCAGCCCTCGCCCTCCGCCAGCAGCCGCAGCCAGCCGCGCCGTAGGTAATCGGGTCCTGGGGACGGCCGTGCGCCTGTCGGGGGCGGCGTCCGTAGCAGGAGCAGCAGCAGCGGCAGCAGCAGGAGCAGCGAGGGCGGCGCCGTGGCAGCTGCGGGCTGCTGCGGCATGGTTAGCTGGAAGCCCTGCGAGCACTCCGGGCATCAGCGCGTTCGTGGCACCCTGCCAGGGAGGGAAGCCAGGTCAGGAGGTCAGAAGCGACCTCACTGTTCATTGTACCAAAGTTTGACCCAAGCACACTGCCCCCTCCCCTGCTGCCTTGGCGTCCAGCAGACCCTCCACACAGATGCCTGGTGACTCTCTAGGAGCCATCCAGTGATTGACTACACTGTTTCTGGGGTTGGGGAGAGGTGAGAAGAACGGGTAATAAAGCTCAACCAGCAGTGCGCGCGTGCGCGCGCGCGCGCGCGCACACACACACACACACACACACACACACACCCCAGCGGCAGCACCACAGACCATCCAGCTCTGAAGCTTCCTGCCCTAGAGGAGGATGAAAATTGATGGCCCCAGAACTAAGGAGTTGTTAATAAGGGTGGGAATGGGGAAGAAATAATGCCCCTGGGCCCAGAGCGCTCACCTAGTGTCCAGGACTAAGCCCTTCAGAACAGCCCTGTCTCCGGTGGGAAAAAGCAGGCGGTGGAAAGAAAGCAGAGGCCAACAATCCGCTGGGCCTGCCAGCCACCTCTGCTCCGGCTTGAGGATCTCTGAGAGAGCCCACGGACTTGGACTCAGAGAGCACCTCCTCCGCCCCTCTCCCCGCCTCTCGACGTCGCACTCAACCCCCTCCCTCCAGTTCTGAAGCTGCCAATTTCATGCAGCCTCAAGGGACCCTCCTGGGCCACTTCCCCTAGCTGGGCCAAAGTCACAGTGAGAAGTGAGGAGCCCGTAACCGGACACCGAAGCTGGGAGAAGACAAGGGGTAGGGTGGGGTGGGGGTTGGGAGTAAGGGATATGGTGGTGGCTGGGAGGCTGGAAGGGTTGAGTGAAGGTCGAGGGCTTGTCCCATCGGACTTTACAGTCCCTGGGGTCTGCCAGAGCAGCTGCATAATAGGGAGGCAGTAGGAGCTCTGATGCCAAGTCGCGCGCTCCTGGAGGGCAGGGCCAACCAACATAGTAGCCCCGAAGCCCAGGGCTGGCTTCCCGGGGGCTATTGCAGGCTTGCCCATCCAGCTTCCCTACCAAGGCGCAGACCAGAGACTTGGCGCTTCCATCCGCCACCCCACAACTGGTCTCCTCCTCCCTCCCCACATCCGGCAGGTGCTTCAGCGCGACTGATTATAGAGGTCCCAGCTGACCAGCAGCCTCAGGGAGAGGTGGGCGGGGCGCCTCCCGCGCGGACCTCGCTCCGGGTCGGGATTACAGGTTACATTTGCAAGGCCGCCAAGGCTGGAGGCGTTCGGTCTCACGGCCGCCACCAGTGCCACCGTGGCACTCTGGGCTGGGGGTGGGGAGGAAAGCGTTCCTGGAGGCCCGCCCGCCTTACCCGGGGTCTGCCAGGCCCCGCCCTAGCCTGCCCCAAGCGGCTTACAGAAGCCGCGCTGCAGTCCAGTTTTGCAGGGAGCTGAAACTGAGCTTTGCAGTCGGGGAGGTGACGGTATTTAGACGGTATTTACTCATCCCAGAAGAACCTGGCCCCCGGCCTAGCGGCCTGGGCCTCCTGATCAGCCCCGAAGTTCAAGGCGGGCGACGGCCTCCACACCACCCAGGGGGATCGGCTCCGCATGCGTATTGGAGGCCTGCAGGGTCAAAACTCCCGGATGCAGCCCAGGACTCTCCCTCCGGACCTGAACTCGGCCAAACCCTTTCACTTAGGGGTTCCCTAGCCGAATGCACGTCACTCCTGGCCGGGTGGGGGTGGGGCACTGACGAGGTGGGCGAAAGCAGAAAAACAGTACCCCCATCTCCAAAACTCCAGCAGGACAGGCAGCACACTTCACGCGATGCCTCAAAACTGTCGCGAGAATCAGAACAGGAAGTCTAGGAATTCAAAGCAGGAAAGGCCCGCGGGTTTCAAACCGGAAAAAAGAGTGGGCGGAGCCCCCGGTTGGGGATCGTTGTGGGTAATCCCTTGTCTTAGGCCCTGGGTCCAACTGGAACTGTTGACCTAGAGCAGAAGTGGACTGTAAGAGAACTGCAGGAAGCCCCGCAAAATAAAACGAGGGAGGGGGTAGGAAGGGACATGAAATTGCGGAGCTGACTTAATGGAGACGCTCAAGCTGGTCTGTGGCTCTGAATTACAAAATGCCTTGAGGATGAAGATCACTCTCAGTGTACCCAGCGGAAGCCGTTGGGGATCTCAAAATGAATTGTTACCGGCTTCTAAGACTTGGAGCCAGTATTTAAACAACAGACTCAGGGGCGCCTGGGTGGCTCAGTCCTTAAGCATCAGCCTTCGGCTCAGGTCACCATCCAGGAGGATCAAGACCCATTGTTGGGCTCCCTGCTCGCTGGGGAACCTGCTTCTCCCTCTTCCACTCCCCCTGCTTGTGTTCCCTCTCTCGGTGTCTCTCTCTGTCACATAAGTAAATAAAATCTTAAAAGACAAATAACTCCCTAGACCTAGAAACTCTTCACTTACCCTCCTTAATTGTACCCGGTTGTTTACTTTGGAGTCTTAGCTGCTTTCTAAGTGTTTGGTATTAGGAATCATGCCTAATTCTTCACTGTATCCTGTGCACATAGCCCTGCACCTGGAAGCACAGTAAATTCTCGGTAAATATTTGTGTGGATTAAATAGGAAAAACCTCCTGTGTGTGAAAGTCAAGTTTAATTTGGATTTTCTGAGTCTCTGATTGAAGGCTAGATAGACGGGGAACGAGCGCCCTCTGGTGGGCTTGATGTTGGTGACAATAACAGGACCGTGCACACAGTAGGCACCGAAGATGTGGACTTATACAGATCTGCTTTTATTTTTTATTTTATTTTTAATTTTTTAAAGTTTTTATTTACTTATTCGACACAGAGAGAGAGAGATCATAAGTAGGCAGAGAGAGACGGGGAAGCAGGCCCCCTGCTGGGCAGAGAGCCTGATGCGGGGCTTGATCCCAGGACCCTGAGATCATGACCTGGGCCAAAGACAGAGGCTTAACCCACTGAGCCACCCAGGTGCCCCCAGATCTGCTTTTATTAAGTAAAGATTTATTGCACATATTGTAAAAACATTTTTTAAATATGTCAAAACACCACATATTGTAAGAATATTTTTAGAAGGGATTTTTTTACAGAAGACAATTTGAAAGTCTAGATATGTTCCCAGATCCCCATTATCTGACACTACCCATTCAGACTGTTGCAAAACACATTCAGTACACCTATTCCCATACAATTACAGCATATCCATACTTTGAAAATGTTGGCTCAGTTTGGGTCATGCAAAACTGTTGGGCCACAAGAAAAGGATTCTCTAGTTTAGATAATGTGAGTACTACAAGGAGAGGAGCCAGGTGGCCCCATCTTTGCATCTAGATGAGAGAGACTAGATTCAGATGAGGAGAGTGAAGTTAAAATTTCTTGAAGAACAGATAGTCCTGCCTCTTTCTCCTCCCCACCCTTGACTGTAGATGCCTGGACTGGAGAGAGAATGACATCTAGAATGTAGTTTGCTTTCCACTGTGAATCATAGCCTATACTTCACAGGCTATCATATCTTCATTTTCTTTCAGCCACTCACCCATGAAATAATTGTTAAGTATAATGACAGAATGAAATGGGTCTTATACAGATGAACAGCATAAGATGAAACAAGGTGTAAAGGATCAGAGTGTATCTTGTAAGAAATTACTTGGGAAGGGGGCCCCTGGGTGGCTCAGGCCCAGGTCATGATCCCAGGGTCCTAGGATCGAGCCCTTCATTGGGTTCCCCATAGAGCAGGGAGCCTGCTTCTCCCTCCCACTCTGCCTGCTGCTCCCCCTGTGTGTGCACTCTCTCTCTCTGTCAAATAAATAAATAAATAAATAAAATCTTTTAAGAAATTACTTGGGAGAACCCCACATTCTAACCTGTTACTTCATGAACACTGTTTTGACACAGCTGGTGAAAATAGTGGGGTTGCAATTTTGATGAAGAAGCAGAAATGAAATGATCCAAACTGACCCATTAGAGATGGATACAGAGGTATTATGCTTCCTGTGAACATTAGAATCACTTAAGTCAAAAAAGGCTCAACATAGATAATTAAGATGGAATAGCTTGTTGATACCTACTATAGGTGAACTTTGTCAAAGTGAAAAATATGTATAGAGATATAGTTTAATTAATTATTACAAAATAAATACTCATGTGATCACCATCCGGATCAAGAAATAGAACATTGTTAACTTCTAGAAACCCCCATCATGTCCCATCACAACCACTAATCCATCTTTTCCCTGCTAGACAATGATTTCTAACTCCACATTTTAATTTTACCTGATTTTGACGCCTATGTAAATTGCAATACATCTAGGAATGGAATTACTGCATCCTGTGATATACATGCGTTCAACATTAGTAGTTATTACCAAACCATTTTTCCAAAGTGACTCTATCAAGGCACACAGTCCCCAGCAATTAATGAGAGCTCCCACTGTGCCACATCCTTGCCAACACTTGGTATTGTCAGTCTTTTAAATTTTAGCCATTAAGTAAATATTTTAGAGCTTAAGATTCTAAGATGGCCAGTCCACAAGGATTTTTTCCTGGATTTTTTTTTTTACTTTATTTTGAAATAATTTAACATTTGCCTAGAAGTTCCAAAAATAGCACAGAAAATTCCCACGTACCCTTTACCCATCATACCCCAGTAATAACATTTTATGTAACCATAGTATGATTATCAGAACCGAGACATGGACATTGCTACAGTACTATTTTTTTAAACAGATTATTTATTTTGGGGGTGGGTGGGCGGGTGGGACAAAGAGGCAGAAGGAGAGGGAGAGAGAGAATCTCAAGCAGACTTACCGCTGAGCCCAGTATGGGGCTTGATCCCACCACCCTGAGGTCATGACCTGAGCCAAAATCACCAGCTGAATGCTCAACCAACTGAACCACCCAGGTGCCAATAACTTGCTTTTTAAATTACTATCAAAAGTCATTGAAGGGAGGGGCGCCTGGTTGGCTCAGTCAGTGGAGTGTGCAGCTCTCAGGGTTGTTTGAACTCCACATTGGACGTAGAGATTACTTAAAAAATAAAATCTTTTTTTTTTAAGATTTTATTTATTTATTTGACAGACAGAGATCACAAGTAGGCAGAGAGGCAGGCAGAGAGACAGGTGGAGGCAGGCTTCCTGCAGAGCAGAGAGCCCGATGCGGGGCTCGATCCCAGGACCCTGGGATCATGACCTGAGCCGAAGGCAGAGGCTTAACCCACTGAGCCACCCAGGTGCCCCTAAAAAATAAAATCTTTAAGGAAAATGTCATTGAAGGGAAAGGAGGTTAGCTGTCAGGAAAGCTAAATACACATTTTCATGGTCTACATCTACCTGTTGGGGCAGCTGTGGGCAAGGCTCAAGCTCCAGGGTCACTGGTTGAGGTCCACTGTTCATTATGGCACACTCAGAAGGAATGATCTGGTGTTGACAAGTGATGTTCTCCGAAGTGGCAGGCTCTTCAGTCTCGCCTTACTTTTTACTTGAAGACAATTTTCTGTAAGCGAGGCCAATGAGATAGCTTTCTGTTGGCATCTCTACAGTGATTCCTCCTTCCTTCTACCATGATTGTTTATGTCCAGATGATTCCCAGATTTCCATCTCTGCCCTAGACTTCTCTCCTGAAAGTCACACCAGTATGTTGAAACTGATGAATCCACTTCTAATATTTTCTTCCAAGCCGCCAGGGAAGAAGGCCATAAACAGTTCTGCCTGCATATACTTATGGCTTCCAGAAAAAAAAATCAATATATCAAATCACAGGGTAACATTTTATTGACTCTGCTTGAGTGATATGCTCGACAAGAATTAATGTCATGGCCAAGGCCTGGCCATCCTGGAGCATGAGTCTCCCCCTGTAGCAGACACAGTCAATGCCCCAGCCATTTACCCTTGGCCACACCAAAGCTTACCTGCAGACGGTTCCTGTACAAGCTCATGGGTCCCTCTGCCTGAGGGAGGCCTCT